TACAACGTAATAACATATAAGAAATTATTTTACATGATTTTTGCAATTTTTATGTAATGGACATAACTTTTTAGTTAAAATACAAAAACAAATTCCATTTTAAAATGTTGAAAAAAAAATCACATGAAGTTTTTACCTATATTTTTCAATACGTCATAACATATTACATATAATTTGTTATTTACAAGGCATTTTTGTCTAATTAACTAATTATGATGACATGTTTGTAAATCTTTTAATACTTTTTAGCAAATGGTATGTTTTTCCACACCTAGTAAAATATAGTATGTAAAATATAAATATATCCTATCTACATGTATAATTTGTAAATTACCCAATTGCTATATTTCTATTTCCATATCGGAGTATGAATAATATCGGACGAAATCGAAACTAGCCGGTTTCATCCAATTCTTCTAGTTGAAATTGCTTAATGGGCATTAGAGTAGATCGGTTAAATCTGGTTTCAGGCCCATAACCAAATAATTGAACCGGCCCAAATGACTTTCAACTTTTCTTAAATTTAGCCCATGCCTGAACAAGCTCTTTCTATTTTCTCATTGAGAAAGTGGAAATTTTTGTATTTACATCATTACGAAATAAATATTCAAGATTTTCTATGTAATTTTTATAACTCAAGTATTACTTTGTGATATGGCTAATCTTATGAGAAACACCATATACTCAATTTATTTATTCTTTGTAACTGAAATTAATTTAAATACAATATTATTGAGTTGGTCATTTATTGTTATTTCTAAACCATCACAAAAATAAATAAAACTTCAGTAGCCAAACCGTAACACATGCTTTTTGGGGGGAAAAACGATTATCTTTCTATTTTATTCTTGAATCCATTTAGCATGAATGTTCTCTTGTTGCAGAAACACATAATTTTCTGTTTTAAACTCAATAGTTTTCCAATCCATGACTCAATAATCCATTTAGATATGCATAATCTGCAAAAACATATGTCCATGTGCCATCTGTTATGATATATAAAATTTTGGTAAGTGGTGTGTTTGTGGCGCATATTTAGCTCACGGTTGATTATTTAGTATGAGTGAGGTGATTTGCATATTTTTTATTTAACTATATGTTTAACAGTATATCTTCAATAAAATTGATGACAAAGTAATTCCTGAAATATATCAAGTACTAGCTAAGGGGTGTAACTTCCTCTTGTGAAAGCCAGTTTCTTTTTAATATTACTCATTTTCATTTCTTGGTGTCTGTCCTATTATTGTGAACATTAATAAATGGAAAGAAATTAAAATATACTAGGGAGTTAATTTACTCATTTGCATTCGGGCACATCTAGAACTATACTTTTTGTCATAGAATCTAATAAACTCTACTTTTGTTTAATCATAGAACCACAATCGAATCGAATCGGACCGATCATAATTATATTTGAAAATGTTGACTGCATTTACAAAATACCACAAGTGGATTTGGACTATTCCCCGGCCAAACAATGTGGACCTTTTTATCCCCAAATGCTTTGAGATTCCTCCGAAAACCAACGAAAAGAGTCACCTCTTCACTGCCGTAATCTACGGTCTTTTCCTGTCTTATTCAAGCGCAATCTCTCTGCCTCCTCCTCTCATTTCCTCAACCGGTGTGTCTCCCCTTTTCCTTTTGTTTTCTATATTTGGGGCCCTCCACTACCACAATTATTTCTTTTTATTGGCACGTAGGTGTTTGCTTTTCAAACAGCACTTAAACTTCAATTAATAGCACTCCAAGTCCCCAGACTAATGCCATACAAAACCAACACATATTAATTACCTATAATCAAGATTGAAGGAAAATTTATAATAAAATTATGTTCATCAAGAGCCAGCAACCGAATTTTGTTGGTGCATTCTTTTTTTTCTAAAAAGTGAAGAGTTAGGAAAGAGGATGGAGCTCGTTGGGGATTGTGGACGAAAACTTTGCTATTTGTACATTGATTTTTAACATTTTGGTTGACATTTACATTGTCGTCAAGTGTCAATTGGATAAAAAAATTATTTGAAATTTAAACTGTCTAATAGGATAATGACACGTGATAAAATGTACAACGTAGTGTACATGTAGCAAGGTTCTTGTAGAGAGGGTTTAGGTTCTTGAGACTTCCATTCACGTCACCATTAATGGTTCGATTATATGTGAACTCAAGGATATAGATCTAAATAGGTTGAAAACCCATAATTATACAACGTGAAGGGTTGGGGAATCAATCCCTAAATTTCTCTTTTATTCTTTTAAGATAAGCTTGTTTGGCTAAGCCTAAACAGAAGTCATTATGTAGAATTTATGCCAATCCTAGAAGAAAGAAGCAATAACCTTATTAGTCAATACGTCATCGGTGCGATAATCCCTTGAGGTTAGTCTTAATTAATTTTTTGTAATAATTTTGAATAACTCACTTTTCTTACTTATATATATAGTACCTTTTACTTATTTTTTTTTTTAGGGGCGATAATCCCTTGAGGTAGTAAAGTCATTTTGGGGCGATAATCCCTTGAGGTTAGTCTTAATTAATTTTTTGTCATAATTTTGAATAACTCACTTTTCTTACCTATATATATATAGTACCTTTTACTTATTTTTTTTAGGGGCAATAATCCCTTGAGGTTAGTAAAGTCATTTTGGGGCGATAATCCCTTGAGGTTAGTAAAGTCATTTCGGGGCGATAATCCCTTGAGGTTAGTCTTAATTAATTTTTTGTCATAATTTTGAATAACTCATTTTTCTTACTTATATATATATATATATATAGTACCTTTTACTTATTTTTTTTAGGGGCGATAATCCCTTGAGGTTAGTCTTAATTAATTTTTTGTCATAATTTTGAATAACTCACTTTTCTTACTTATATATATATAGTACCTTTTACTTATTTTTTTTAGGGGCGATAATCCCTTGAGGTTAGTAAAGTCATTTAGGGGTGATAATCCCTTGAGGTTAGTAAAGTCATTTCGGGGCGATAATCCCTTGAGGCTAGTCTTAATTAATTTTTTGTCATAATTTTGAATAACTCACTTTTCTTACTTTTATATATATAGTACCTTTTACTTATTTTTTTTAGGGGCGATAATCCCTTGAGGTTAGTAAAGTCATTTTGGGGCGATAATCCCTTGAGGTTAGTAAAGTCATTTCGGGGCGATAATCCCTTGAGGTTAGTCTTAATTAATTTTTTGTCATAATTTTGAATAACTCACTTTTCTTACTTATATATATAGTACCTTTTACTTATTTTTTTTTAGATGTATAGAAGTTTTTCACTCATTTCTTCACAGCTGATTATCATGGATGTTAAATTTATTTTCGGCGGTGTGTTAGATATTAATTTATTATATATGAGAAGTATTATCTTTTCATTTGTGAGAAATTCTGCTATTTTAAAGGAATAGTATTATCTAAAATGCAATTAGCTAAAATTTTTTACTCGAGTCGAGCTCAAGCCTCAAATTTTGGCTCGCAAGCCGACTCAGCCCGTTGACATCCATAGTAAACACGAAGGATGTAGTGAAGACAATATTTATGCACCCCCACCCTTTTTCTAAGTTTATCCAAATATTATTCTCCTAAAAGACTCACTTGGGAGGGAGAAGGCTCTCTGCAACTAAAACGATTCTACAGATCTGTTCTACTAGCAATGGCGTTTGTACAGTGGAATAAAGATATTGAGTCGTTTGAGTGCTTCTTGAGGCCTGAGACTAAAGCCTTGAGGTGGAGGCGACTCATTAGTAATGTTTCCAAAGTATAAAAATATGCCTTCTTATAACTATTTTAGATTAGTTAACAATTCAGCGGTCTCAATAGATCATTGTTTTCATGATAACATCATTTGATGATTTTGCTTTAATGGACAGGTAGGGAAGGGTTTGTCTATGGATTCAAAGGCAAACACATTGGTTTTGAAACACTGGATTGAAGTTGTAAGTCATTATTTCTTGTTTCTATCTCAGAGTTTATAAGGCTAGCTCATCCTTGTTTTGATCTTTTAGCTAATGATCAGCATCATGTTTAGATGGCTTTAATGAGAGATCTTATAAGAAGTCACATCTAAATGTTTTATGCAAATATTACAGTTCTTCTAGGACATCCATTGGCCATTGTTGGTAGGCCTGGACATTTTAATCAGAATCAAAGTTTTGAGTAAATGGATGACAGACAAGGCTTAATACAAATTGCATAAATTATGGAAGGACGTCTTTGTCTCCAAGTAAATTCATGATTTTAACGTGTGTACTAAATTGTGCATAAATTAGCCAGATTCATGAGAAGGCATTAATACACGATAAAAATTCAACAAAAGAATCAAGAAAACTAGATTACATAATTCGTCTTAACTAAAAAAGACTTAGCCACTCATCATCAAGTTATACAAACAAAAGAAATTATATGAAAATAAGTACAACATCAGGAATATTATAGAGAAAATAAAGGTGTTGAATACCCATCTTTCAATATTTTAGCCTAAACTCCAATCTTCACATCGAAATAATCTTCTTCAATCTTTGATTGCAAAATCTAAGCTTTGAATTCCTTTGGAACCTTAGTTTGATGTGTTTGAGATGTGTTTTTCTCTCTTTATGTCTTCTTGTATTCAGAATCCCAAAAATCCTTTATTATCCATGCATTAGGAGTCCCAGCAGGTCTCTTAAAAATCAAAATTTATGATCCAATTTGACTGTGAAATCTGCCAGCACAAAAGCATTGCCTCCATTGCATTGACGGTGCAGATGAGCTGCCATGCAGTTTGTTATTATTATTCCAGGCAGCTCAGCCTCATCATGTTTCTTCAAGCTTTCCAAGTTAGATCTACTTCCATTCCATTCACCAAAATATATATGCATTCTCGTCCGCAACTGTGATCTATGCCACGTTATCAAAAAATTTCCCAAAGTTAACACAACTCCGAGCTAAACAACTGATATAAGTACAAAATTAACTGTCTGGATAAGTGTGGTCAGCCAATGCATTTTGATGTAGTACTAGATATTAACATGGGGAATCAAAAACGGTTGCTGGGGTGGCTGTGTTTGTGGTCGAGAAACTGTTTTTAGAGTATTTTACTGTGAGAGTTTTGGCAAGGTTTCAAAGGAACAAATGGCTAATTGGGAGAAGAAGAGACGTTTTTGAAGAGAGTCTTTACTGGGGATTGAGCCGCCGGGCTTCAGAAGCCCGGTGATATTTTTCCCATCCTCTATCTCTGTTATTTTAGATAACGATAATTCAGTAAAGGGTTTTGCAGAGGTTTATCAATGTCAGTGTTGATGGCCTCAATCACAAGAATCAATAAGGTTTCTCAAGACATTCTTCATCCTTGCAGCTTATCCCTCTGCTTTTTGGAGTTTAATTATCTTCAATTATTACAAGTTATTTTTCATTGTCTCAACTTTTGCCTGATAATTCAGGTTCACATTACATAGTTATGTTATTTATACAGATTGATCCAGAGCATCGCTATGGAAACAACTTACATCCATATTATAAAGAGTGGCTTAAAAGCTCTACCAATCAGGATTTCTTAGTCTGGTGAGAAAAGTTTGATGGTGGTGTCAAATGAGTAGTATCAATTACAATTTGAGAGATTTTGATTCATTTATTTTATTTTGAACATGTGTGCAGCTGGTTGAATCTAAAGTGGAACTCATATATTAATCTAAAGTGGAACTCGTCTAGATTTTTATTTTATTTTATTCATTAATCTAAAGTGGAACTCATATATTAATTGAATCTTGAACATATCTGCTTTTAATAGGTTGAATTTTGGAGATGGCAAAGAGGTTGATCTTGAAGAGTGCCCGAGATCGAAGCTGGATCAACAATGCGTTAAATATTTGGGACCAGTATGCAATAAAAATTGCACTACCTTTTGCAATAGATTTTTGTTCTACATTTATGACATGGTCATTTCATATAAAAATAATAATAATAATTAAAATCTAATCTAAAGTCATTTATTAAAATTAATCACACGGGATCCACAACTTTTCAATTACACATTCCACCAACTTTTATCAAATTAAAAAAAAAAAAAAAAAAAAAAAATCTAATTTTTACCTAAACCAAACAGGGACTGATTATATTTTTACATCAAGCACGTTATATCATGTGTTATTCTTGTTTCTGGTTTCCCATTTTCGTGTTACTAATTGATTTCGATAATACTGATTATTCATTTAATTGATAACAATCTAGTAGTGTGCTAAATATGTACTTAATGCATAGAGTATGCGATGCAACTATTATAGGGACCTCTTGATTATATTATGGATAAATTACATATCTTTCTTAAAATATTGTTCTATTATGACCCATGCAACATTTCAAGCAGTTTTCTTAGTTTATTTATTATTCTTCTTTGATATGATCAGAAAGAGAGAGAATATTACGAATATGTCATTGTTGACGGAAAAATATTGCACAATATGACCGGAACACCTCTTCACCATGGATCACCACATTTGAAATACATCTTTGTGGTAAGCACAGCTAAAAAGCTTTACGCAGGAGAGGTAAGGCCTAAACAAAGTTAGAAATTAATACACACGTGATGTTCTCTCTCCCCCTCCCTCTCTCTCTCTCCCCCTCTCTCTCTACACAAGAATGATCTAATGAGTATTTTGCTCATCTTATGTGAAACACCGCTAATGCGTCATATAAATTTAATGGTGGATTTTAAACTTAAGTCAAAGGTTAAGATTCACCATAAATGTATCCACCAATAGATTTATATGATATATCACCGGTGTTTAACATAAAATAAGTATCGGTACTCATTAAATTATATATGTTTATTGTTATATCTATATTTTTATAACATGCAGAAAGAGAAAGGAATCTTCCATCATTCAAGCTTTCTTGCTGGAGGAGCTACATTAACTGCAGGGAGACTCTTCGTAGAAGATGGACTACTTAAGGTAAATTCGGAGTAGTCTTGTATTTTAGTTTCTTGGTAAAACATAGAACATTTTTATCAAGACCTAACTTGGTACTTGGGTTGTGGCTATCAAACTTCTTCTATTGTGATCGAGTTACCGACCAAGAAGAGAGTGCAAGGCAATTTGGAAAGAAAGCAATCAAAGACAAGTGATTGGACCTCGTTTCTGGGATTTCAAGTTTGTTTTACCACTTCAAACTCATAGAAAGCATACAAGTAAAATTTACTGCCATAGAAGGTGTCAAGGGATCTGAGGAGTGTCAACTAAACTAGGCTTTGATAAATAAAAAACTTTACCTATTCTCAGACAGTCATAGTGGTATTTGAGAATCGCGTCTTTCCTTTCCTAACCAAATATATAAATGTTAGGTTTCATTGAACTAGCTAGAAATATATTGTTTCCAATGGAATAAATAACCTTGAGAAAGCATCTGCAAAAGCAAACCCAGAACAGAGCAATCCTAAACAGAGCTCTACTTTTGAAACTTGAAATGAAGAAAGTGATGGAATGTGAACATAGGATTGTAAAGCCACACTAATAGGTTTTGCTTAATACATTTTGATCTAATGCAGCTTCTTTACCTTTTCTAGCGCATCTCACCTTCCAGTGGACATTATAAGCCAACTGAGGATAGTTTTGAACGATTTTTATCGATTCTCAAGGAAAATGGAGTCAACCTCGATGAAGTCGAGGTGCATCATCTGCCTTGTCTGCTTATTTTTTTCCTGTGATACAGTATTTCAACTAATAGTGTCGTTGTCTCATATCTTATCAGATCCGGAAGGCAAATGAAGACTTCTTGAGCCCTAAAGTCTAGATTTGCCTCCGAAATTGCTGAATTACACCTACAGAAAAGAATGAGGCCTGTTCCTATACAATAATATGTGACTTGTGTGTGTCAGAATAATCTGAACAATGGAGAAGTGGAGAGCAATATATGTAATAATAGTGTGTGATAATGATGTGTGACCTTAACGTACCAGAATCATCTGAAGAATGGAGAATTGAAGAGAAATATATGTATTAATGGAGTATGACTTGAGTGAACCAGAATATCTGCAGAATACTCTAATCAGCACTTTTGCTCGCCCGGGAAAGGTTTATCTTCACTTTATTCCTACATTAATAGAGTTTGACGGATTCTACCCCCATCAACGTTTTCATTTACATCAGAGAAGAGAAAACAGACTCGTTCTCGTCAGAAACAACTGGTACAATGCAAATGTAACAAACACTTAACTCGTAACAAGTAATAAACGAATAAGTTTTGGTCAATTGCAAGCTTACTGGGGACTCCTCTCAAGTTAGAATATGCCATGAGTCATCTCTCTCGTCCTAGTATGGCAACATTTTTGGTTGCGATTGATCCGTCAGAGTCTAAAATAGAAAGAGTCCGGACTGGGAAATTATTTTTTTGAGAATAATCCACTCCGTTCAAGGAATGGCCGAGAAGGATAAAACTGAAAAGGAGGAAAACGCCATGACGGGCTATTAAATCAGCAGAGAGAATTAACTCGTAACAAGTAATAAACAATAACTTATGGTCAACTGCAAGCTTACTGGGGACTCCTCTCAAGTTCGAATATGCCATGAATCATCTCTTTCGTCCTAGTATGGCAACATTTCTGGTTGCGATTGATCTGTCAAAGTCGAAAATAGAAAGAGTCCGGACTGGGAAATTATTTTTTTGAGAATAATCCACTCCGTTCAAGGTATGGCCGAGAAGGATAAAACTGAAAAGGAGGAAAACGCCATGACGGGCTATTAAATCAGCAGAGAGAGGCAGGAATTTAAAGGACTGTGGGAGATTTGCATGGAAATGATTACGTCTACAGTAGAAAAATTGCATGCAGTTTCGGGTCTTGATGTTGTTGGGTCAGCTCAAAAGGGTTCATAGTGCTGGACTGGATCATGATATTTAATTGGAGCGGAATTTGGGCCCAAATTGGTCAATAACCACGTGCACGTAACCTTGAATGCATCATTTTCAATATGCAGTGTTAAATAATAAAGGGAAAATTGCAGTCCTGACATTTTCACTTTTTTGTAAATTTTACCTTAACCTTCAATTTGTACTAAAAAAAGTTCCTAAGATTTCAAAAATATACATTTGGTGTTCAAATGGATGGATTTCATCAATTTGACCGTTAGTTGATCAAGGAAGATAAAATTAAATGATTTTTGACCAAATAAAAATGGGTAAAATGATAAATTTATATTTTTCTTACATTTAAATAAGTTAAATCATTTAATAATAATAAAATCAAAAATCAAAAAACAAAAAAAGAAACCCAGAACCCCTAAACCCCCCACTCCAAAATTAAACACAAAAGGCAATGGCACCGCCGGCCAAGCTCTCCCGTCCCACCCCATTAACGCCGACCAAAGCTCCATTTCATTCTAAATTAAGACTTGAAAATTTGACCAAATTAAGAAAGGTAAAATGATAAGTTTACATTTTTCTTACATTTAAATAAGTTAAATCATTTAATAAAAATAAAAACGAAACCCAGAACCCCTAAACCCCCCACTTCAAAATCAAACACAAAAGGCAGTGGCACCGCTAGCCAAAGCTCCATTTCTTTCGGAATTTGGACTTGAAATCGGAGATTTTGAGTCTTGATTCCAAAATCAGCATGATATTTTGGTGTTTCAACTAGAGAATGTGAGGAAGATGGACCTAAAACCAGAGAATTTATTGCTAATTTAAGGAAAATAATTTGTGGGTTTTGACGTTTTTTTATCATAACCAAATGGGTTGTAAAAATGCAAGATTTTTAGATGCACCAACTCCAAACATTGCAAATGGCTCTGCTCAAATGTGGCGGTGGCGGTGGCGGGTGGCTTTTCTATTTGTATTTGTATTGGGTTTGGGTTTGGCGACAGTTTAGATCGGTGGTGCCACTAGTTGCTGGGTGAGTTTTCGGCTTTGATTGAGTTAGTGGTGGTGGATGTGGATTCGGTGGCGGGCAATCGACTGTGGGCGGCGACGGTTTGCAGGGGGGAAGAGTGGGGTTTGGGGAGAGGTTAAGGGTAAGGGTAAGGGTAATGGTAGAAGATGATGACTTTTTATTTTTATTTTATTTTTGATTTTATTTTTAATTTAGTTAAATGTAAGAAAAATGCAAACTTACCATTTTACCCTTTTTAATTTGGCGAGAAATCATTTAATTTTGACTTTATTGGTCAACTAACGATCAAATAGACGAAATCCATTCATTTGAACTCTAGATGCATATTTCTGAAAGGTTAGGAATCTCCGCAAACACAAATTGAAAGTTAGCGTAAAATCTATAAAAAAATGAAAAAGTTAAGAACCGCTGCTACAATTTTCTCAATAATAAATGCTTCTAGTTGGATTTGACATTTAAAAGAATGTACACTTTAATTAAAAATTTTGATAAAAATTAAAGTCAAAGTTAATTATTAATTATATATTGAAATTCATAATTTTTATTAACTTTTCAATCCCACATATCATATTTTTATAAAAATTTAATAAAAATCTAATTTTGAAGTACATCAAAAAGAACTTAAAATTAGAACAAAAACTGCAAAAACTTATGATAATGTCAATATAATATTATTTACAGATTTCCTACAAGACTCGCTACAGTAAATTTTAAGTAGAAATAAAATGTGTAAGTTTGTTGCAAAGAGAAGAACATACCATTTCAAAAAAAGGTTAAACCCTAACCTTAAGGGTCCCCCACCACCCCTGCCTTGGAGCATCGTGAGGGAGGTGAATCGCAGGTTATGCCTCCAAGGGTACAGGGTGGAAGGCTGCTTGTACACTTGCACTTACCCAAGAGCCAAATCCATATTTTAGGATTCGAACCCTTGACGCAGCAGCCTCAAGCAAAGCTGGATTTCTCCACCCTCCCCTTTTTACCACTTGGAGATGTGCCATGGGGGCAGAACATACCATTTCCCCACTACATAGGGTTGAGGGAGATTTAAAAAAAAAAAAAAAAAAAAAAAAAAAAAAAGGGGGGGAGCAATGAATTTCACGAAATGAGCGGTGAAAGGGCCATTTTGGTTTGTGGCTCAGTTTTTAGTTTATTTTCTATTTGACAGTCCATTTTAAGTTTGTTAAAAATGTGCTTTGTTTGTTATTTTGAAAAATTATTTTTTAAAATAGAAAATTAAAAGAAAATTTTGTTTTAAAATTTAAAAAACTATTTTATGACATTTTATTCATCAGTAAAAAAAATAATTTTATGTTAATATATTATCAAGTTACACATACATTTTAAAGTTGACGAATCTTACAATTTTTTTTCTCATTACAAAAATAAAATAAATAATAAATTGAGTTCAAAATATAAGAAATAAAAATAAAAATTGATGACGTAGTTCAAATGTTATTAACACTATTTGGGTCTTGATATTATTTCCTAATTTGTTAGTTTAATTAAAACTTTCTATTGTTCATGATTTGGATCATGCCCTTCATCTAGCTACTTGTCATAAACTTACAACTAAGTAGCCATGGATAGTCGAGCATCTTCAGTGACATATGGATCTCATATCCAAAATAAGATACTTAACATCAGGAAACGAACACGAGAGAGAATAAATTTTTGAAAATGAGGGCCAAACAAAGGCAAAGCAATAACTTATTCCTCTACATTAACTTCCAGAGGATTATCAACATATTTGTCATTGTATGTAGCATAATTCAAATCAAATAGTACTTTGTCTTGCATAAATCCAATGTAGTATCTAGTAGAGTGTACCTTAAAAATTGGTTCTATAGGTTTTACTTATAGTTGTTAGTTGTTAGTTGTCAGCTGTGTCGTGTGATATAACTTATATTGATTGAAATAAGAGTCTAAATTAGATTAGACTAACGAGATTTTGTTTGTTCTCTGATTTCTCTCCTATAGATGGAGAAGAATTTTTATGTGATAAAATCTTATTTATGCAGCTAAAAATAATTAAATTTTTTATTGGAAGATGTTTCATGAAATTGATTTTCTAGTTGTTCTTTTATTCCCAAAACAAATAACTTTTTTAACTCAGTTTTATTGGTAGCCTCAATTTTAAATTTAAATGCCAAAAGCTAGATCAAAATTAAGGTTCAAATACTGAGAAGTATTCACAGCTCATAAATAGAAAACCCATGTCAACATAAATCTAGTGTAACCATATATAAAGTGGTCCTTATTTTTATCAACTTTTTATATGGGATAAACTTAAATATAGTTTTTCCTCCAACATAAACAATCTTTCAATAGTCCACTTTGAACTCCAATTTTTCATTCACCCGTTTATCATTTTTGAAAAGTAAATATATTATTTTGATGTTCTTACAGAGGAAACATGGATCAACTTTTATATTTTACATTGAACCAAAGGGCCACACCTAAAATTGTGCCAGAAGTAAACTTAACAAAGCAATTTTTTCAACTCCATATGAATGAAAATTGAGAGTGACACAAAAATGTGAGACATAAAGATTTGGTGATATAGTTCATTGGTTGAAACCTACATAGAATAAATAGGTATTACCCTTTGAACATTCCTTTATTAAAGCATATTTATTTTACCAGCTGACCAGTAGACATGCACATCTTTAGGGATGGCAATTGAGCCAAGTAGTTCGTCGGCTCGACCGCTCAACTCGCCAAAATTAGGCTCGTAAAATAATTAGCTTGAGCCCGAGCCGAGCTAGACCGCCCGTTTGGCAAGTCGAACCGGCTCCACTCGTCAAATAGGCAGCTCGTGGGCTCACAAGAAACGAACCAAGCTCGTGTAGCTACAATGATCGAAAACAGTCACTTTTTAAAAGTGACCGTTTTCAGTCATTGTACATAGTTCAATGACCGTTAGAAACGGTCACTTCTACATTTATTCATACTTATTAGTTACTACATTTCGATTTCATCACAAACAAATTGATCCACACTCATTTGTTGAGGGTTTGTTTAGTATGAGAGGAGGCGAATCGTCT